TGGCAGCAAGTTTGCTTGAAGAATTGGCCATTGGGATTTCTTTGTACAAGGATGAGATTAATGGAGGTTATATGAATGTATATGTAAGTTGGTATGAAAATTAGGCTTTTTATTTTTCTGGTGCTCTGGGTATGGTCTAATTGGATAGCTGTCCTTTCGCCGTTGAAGTACCTGCTGGTTCCTCAATAGGATACGATGCGGCTGTGCTGTGGAATAGGATCCTCTTGGTAGAAAGGAATTCGCCTTTGTGTCAATAAATATGATTCAAATAGAGGTTTGCTATCATTTTCACCTACTTTGATATTTCCATTTGTACAATTCAACCATCTGTTCGATTGAAACCCAGGACATTTAATTGTTTGATATATAGTTGAATTCAACTTTCTCCTGCAGAAGCCAATAATCTGCTTTTTGTGGAATCCCTGGTTAGAGTTGTGTTTTAAACCAATATGCCTTCTACCATCACCAAGTTTGTGGGTTTATATGACAAGACAGTTTCTCTTGGACTTAGCCGACGGTGCCCATAATTTCCTATTGAACTGGCCACGGAGATATCCACCAATCAAAACCCAAGATTTCTTCATGTAAGGAGAGAGTTTCGTAGGCAGTAAGTTTTGGGTTTCTCTTTCATACTTGCACATATAGTTATGTAAATGCTCTGTAAATCATTCCTTAATCTTGCAGGCCACTATGTACCACAACTTGTGGAGTAGGGTTTGTCTATGATCAACGCAAGGACATACAAATATACGTTAATCATCTGAAAGGTTTTATGGTAAGAATAATGCTCCGTGTTTATGCTTTACTGGACTGGAGGCTAAAATTGATCAGCACCATTAGGCTGCATGTACTTATCTTGTACATCTTATATATCTCAAGCATACATGAACATAAGTACTAAGACGATATCCATGTTGCAGGTAGGCAACCCAGAAGCCGATTATTATTATGATTGTAGTGCCTTGCCAAGATATGCTTGGACCTGTTATGTGAGAGACCAAACCAGCTCTACTTCAAAGCCAAACAAGTGTAGTCTTCAAAGGCTCCATACTAACTTGCCTGAACCCTGATGAGTGAAACAATTACATGAACAAAGTCTTTGAAGAATATACAACCCTGAGGAGTTCAAATTCGGATAATCAATATATGTGACTTAATTTGATTCAGCAAGCAGATTGGTGTCATTTTTACCATCAAAATTTTTTAACTTTGCCTCATTTTGCCACATCTTCTACAACTTTAGTGGAGAATAAGGATATTCCATTCCCCCGGCATCTTCTTCATTCCACCCAGTTCCAGATTATGCACAAGGATATCTTTGCTCCCCAGAATAATCTTTTCATTTACAGAAGCAAAGTAGTACAAAAAAACACAAGAACACGTACAAATGTAAACAATTTCCTTTCATATATATATATATATATATATATATATTTACAACTTCTGTTTTGAGTTGTGTCAAAGCTGCAATACAGTGGTGGTAAAGTGACAGCCACATGGAGCTGCACAAAATGGCAGCAAATCTTTGGGACATAATATTACTTTAAATGTTTGATAGATTTTCTTGTATTAGGTAAATATTAGGTGAGAAAAGTATTGTTTGATATTGTATTGTTTTTGCTATTTACAGCAGAATATCAATGGAAGAAAATGAGTTTTCACCTCACCAAAAGAGGGAACTCCGGTTGTCTCCCTCACCGGGTGTCTTGCATTCTAGATGAAAGACAACAGAAAAACTCCGGTTGTCTCCCTCTCCGTGTGTCTTGCATTCTAGATGAAAGACAACAGAAAAACTCCGGTTGTCTCCCTCTCCGTGTGTCTTGCATTCTAGATGAAAGACAACAGAAAAACTAAAAGCATCTTGCAATACAAGTTTCTATCATTTGGAGACAAAACTAAAAATAGATATCCTGAGTTTAACCTTTCACTTACTTCTCTTTTGAATTCAGCCAAAGCAGCACCCGAGAAGTCCTGGTCTAGGAACTTCTTAACAGCAACCTCCTGTGGTTCAAAACCCATTACCAGCCAGGAAGTTCGAAACTCCATTTTTCATTTCATATCTTATTGATTCAAAATTGGTACAAGTAGAGAAATCGTGTCTTAAAAACACAACTCTTTTACAAGCTACTTGATACAAATAAATAAAGGTATTGCCAATTATGATTCACTTATTAAAAATTCTATATTACCATCTAAACTATTGGAGTATTGTTCATGTAAAAGGTTCTACAGTGATGTTCATGTTAATCCATGTAGTCATATTATAAGCCATCACTGAGTCTCTAAAGCAACATAAAAATGACAAACCGACATCTTAAAGAGAAGATTTTAAAGAGCCAAGAACAAGTTCTCCAACTTTAAATAAAACAACAACAAATAAAAAGAAAATAAGGAAAGAAGTGATCAACTTTACAAATTTCAAGGGAAAAATAGTATCTAAAACTAACCGTGTCATTCC